GCCTAATTCTATCACTCCTTCCACATTTATGAGCTGGCATTCTTCAGTGAGGAAGAGCTCTCTGTTAGAAGGATGGTGACAGGCAGAATTGGGACTTGGCATTCCAGGTGAGGCAGAGGTATATTCCAGAGGAAGGCCAGCCTAGGCACGAAGAGAGTACGGGCGGAGCCAGAACAGTGGTCAGTCCAGACCGCAGGGTAGCAGCAAGAGGTAGGCCTAAGTGGCAAGAAGCACTGATAGAGGAAAGTAAGAGAATAGGATGCCACTCCCGTCAGCAGTCCAGGAAGAAGCTTCTCTAAACCCCTATTTGAGCCCAGCTCCACACTCAGCCTCCCATAGCCATTCCCCATTCCTTAGGTGCCCTGATTGCTTGTTGAGTAATGTCTTTAAGCCTTCACTATTCAGCAAGAAGGGCATCATCCAGAGGCTCTTTAGAAACGCAAAACCTAAGAACCCATCTCAGACTCACTAAATCAGAACCAGCATTTGAACAAGACCCCCCCTGGAAGAATCACTGCTTTAAGCCACTCTATTTCAATTCCCACTTTCACTAACCATACAAAGACAAATGCTACACCTCCTTCAGTGGATTTTGTCTTTCTCCTGGGGATTTTCTATGACCTCCATCTGCTTTCTTGTAGCTTCAGAGGATTTTCTGCCTCAGGTTAATCCTGCACTTCCTTGGAAAAGCAACATGGCATGTCATCCAAGTCAACACACCTGAGTTTGAATCCTTTCCCACTACTTATTATCTGTGGGACCCTCTGTAATCATTGTCACTTCTCTAAGTCTTGGTTAGTCACTAACTCTTGGGGTAAATACCAAATAAAGTAATGAACGTAAAGAATTTAACCCCAGAAGATTAAGTGGTTAATCATGTTAGCTTGAAAATAAGAGAGGCACTCTGACTGGTGTGGCTCAGTGGGTCAGGCGTCGTCCCGCAAACTGAAATGTGACTGGTTCGATTCCAGGTCAGGGCACATGCCTGGGTTACTGGCCAGGCCCCCAGTTGGGGACATGAGAGAGGCAACCAATCTATGTTTATCTCGCACATTGCTGTTTCTCTCCCTCCTCTCCCCTCTCGCTAGAAAAACATAGTCTTTTTAAAAAGAGGGAGAAGAGAGGCTTTCCTGGCAAAGACCTTCATGGCCCACCTTATAAGACAGCATGAGTCCAGTAAGGAAGGAGATATGGATTCCCCCTGGCATATTCCAAACATTAGTTGCCTTTGGCCATTTTCAATCTGAGAGGGCTTATTTTGTCAAAAGCAAATCTGGGAGTTGTTTTCCTCTGCACAGCATTGCTCTGTGAAAGGAAATGGCCTTTCAAGGTGGTGAGGCAACATAAGCACATCATTAAGATCAAGAAAGTAGGCAAAATAGGTATCATTTTCAAGCACACACTAATAGTTTATATCCAACATCTTATTTTGTCTGCAAGAACACAGTGGACTGTAGGATTATTAGTCCTCTAATCACAATGATTAAAAGAAATGAGAAAACAGAGTCCTGGGCAGAGAAGATGATTTAGATTGGGTCATTTCATCTGGATGAGCAGGTTTAATGTGACAGTTCCTCCCTCCATGCACAGAAACATTGTTGGGGACTTCCATCAGACATCCAGAATGTGAACCAAAAGCGCTGAAGGCAGTGTAGTTGGTTGGTAACCATGGAGATGAAGTTTCCTGAGCTACCCAGTGGGGCTGAGAATGACAACCAGGGAGGGTCCATTGGATGTGTCTGTGTCGAGCCTGTGTACTTTTCACCTCAAAGCCAAGTCGCTGAGCAAGATGGCTCATTTCCCCAGCCAGGACCCAGATCCCTATGCAAGATGTGGGAGAGAATTCTAAGACTGCCACGGAGGAATTGATAGACAGCACTTAGCAAAGTACCTAGGGCACATACAGTCCTCAGCCAATTTTAGAAGTCATCATTCCTTTATACCCTGCTTTCCTATCTTCAAACAGGAGGGGAGAGGAGGAAAAACTGAGCTTTCCCATCACTGGCTTCTAAAGATGGCCACTACTCCTGGGAAGTGGAAGGAGCACCAGAGAACTTCAGTTCACATCTGCCACTAACTCATGAGTGTTTTGGTTTCCTCTTCTGTAAAATTAGTTTGATGGACTGAAAGATGTCTAGGTTCTCCTCTGGCTCTGACTCTGACCTTGTCTACCATGGGCTGCCAGGAGAACTAGGAGGACTTGTCCCAAGAGCTCTTTAAAAGAGTAGTCGTCACACTCCTGTCTTGGCTGCCCTGGGCCCTGGGTAAAAGTTTAAGCCACAGGATGCTTTCCTGCACAAAGATGCCTTGTTTTTGACATCTCCTATCTGAAGTTAGGAAACCAAAAAGCCCTCTAATGTTAGACAGAGGCCTTCCCTGACCCCCATATAAATGAGTCCTCCTCCCAGATATTATCTCGTACAAGCTTGCTATCCAACGTGTGTTCTGTGGGCCAGGGGCATCATCATTACCTGCGAGCTTGTCAGAAATACAGGCTCCCAGGCTCCACCCAAACCTGCAGAGTCAGAATGTGCATTTTAATTCCAAGTGCCTAAGGAGTACAGCAGTCTCCCCCCACCTCTCATCTGTGGTTTCTGTTATCCGTGCTCAACTGTGATCCAAAAATATTAAGTGGAAAGTTCCAGAAATAAACAACTGAGTGCGATAAAATCTCACCATTACCCCTTCTATCCCCCTCTGACCTGCCCAGAATATGAATCACGCCTTTGTCCAGTGTTTCCATGCTGCATACGCTCCCCACCTGTTAGTCATGTAGTGGCCATCCGGTGATCAGGCCCACTGTCACGGTATCTTAGCACAGCACTCGTGTTCAAGTCACTCTTATTTTACTTAACGGCTCCAAAGCCATCAATAGTGATGCTAGCAGTTTGGGTATTATTTAAGTGAAAAGGTCAATATGTATAGGAAAAACACAGTATATAGAGGGTTTAGTTTTATCCATGATTCAGGCATCCAATGGGGATCCTGGAATGTATCCCCCTTAGATAAGAGGGAACCACTGTACAATCTTGAAATATTCAGACTCTGCCTTCATAGCCCTTGCCGTGACTTGAAATTCTCATTATATATTTATTCATACATTTTTAAAAACTGCTTGAATGACTGAGCCATAAAATCCACAGGATGTTTTCCAGTGACATCTTGGTGCCTGGCACACACCAGGTGCTCCTTCCATGTGGGCTGAATGTATGATTCTCTGGTATTCCCCAGCTGCTAGCGGCCCCTGGCATGGCCCCACTGGTTTGCTGTTCTGGCCTTCTCTCACTGAACCTGCATACTCTCCTGGGAAGCCAAAAAATTCAATGATTTTAGTACCACACCTGAACATTGATGATTTTCTTTGTCCATTTGAACATCACACTAAGCGATGGTCCTGCTCAGCAGTAAATTAGGTGCCAATTAAATTTTGAAATGCTGTTTATTGTATCACAGAGGCAACTCAGAGGGAAATTTTGTGATGTCAGGTTTTCCTATGACCTGTAAGCATAACTGAGAGACCACAAGTGCGCGGCCTTGTTAGTTAGGTTAAGAGTTTTTGACTGAAGCAATAACATCATAGAATATGAGAGCAAAGAGGGAAGGACCTGCCAAGCCAAGCTCACTTTCTTTTTCCTGAAAAGCTGAAGCCCAAAATATACACTGACTTCTGCCATCTCCAGATCAGTGCTGTGCTAGGGCTTTGCCTTCAGAACACTTCCCAGACTCATACGACACGTTTGGGTTTGGAGAAGAGATCTATTCACCAGGAAAAGAGTCATCAGTAGAAACCAAAAGACAGAGCCCCTAGGAAGATGGTAGAATAAAGGGGGAACCGCAGATGTGGTACTAGGTGTCTGTACTGAACACTAAGAAAATAAAACATGGGCAGCTGCTAACTTCTTGCTTTGATAGAGGTGGGGAAAGTGTTCTCATCGATGTACGTGCTCACACCTCTCTAGGTCTTTATTAATATTGCAATCCAATGACCCACAGGACATCTCAACCTGGCCAGGTTAAGAGATGAGTAAGACACTTTATTCCTTCTTAGTAGGACACCTGAGGGTGTCTCCATGGCTGAGGTGAAAGAAGGGGAAGGGGGACTAGTTGTGGAGACGTTAGTCTCTGAAAAATGTATTAGGGGTGCAGAACTGTGCCCATCTGCTTCTGTTGCCTGCTTGCTCAGTGCACTTCAACAAGACCTCCCTTTCATCCCCGGCAATGCCCCAACCCAGGGGATCCTCCCACAGAACTGTTTCTATCCACTTCATACTTATCTGTGTAAATATTGAGATATGTATTTGTTTATTATAGACTAAATAATATAAAATATACAATGAATATATATATTTGCATGTATTTATATGTTTATAAATATTTGGATATTATAGTCAATTTTTAACTTGCAATAAATCCAGAGGGCAGGAACTCAGTTTAATTATTTATGTTATCCTCATGATCCTTGGCATATAAACATCAATTAATTCAGAATTTCCAACCACAGGAGAGAGATAAATGTACCTTCCCAGGTTTGCTTATAACCTGGTTTTACTGTTTGGTGAATCGAAGATGGAAAAAATAAACCCACATATATTTATATACTGTATTGGATTGTTCTTAGGTTGACCAAAGGGGGGAAAAATCAGACATGTGGAGGTGGAAAAAAAAAATAAAAGCACTAGACTGGGAGTTGGTTGCAATTCGTGGTCCCTGAGCTGCCATAAACTTTTCATTTTACCCCTCTCAACCCTGTCCCCCATTTCCTTGCCTGTGAAATGTGGATAGTAATTGAACTGCTTTTCTGATAGGCATGTTGTCAAGCAAATGCATGAGCAAGTACATTATAACTAAGTCAATGGATTTATTTTTTTTAAATGCAAGAGTCAAGTGAAATATGAATGCTAAATAGCACAGTACATTGAGGACAATCAAAATGGGGTGGCGGGGGATGGTGAATTGTTTCAATTGAATTATCATCCTCACACTCTTTCTTTTTCTTCTAGGACTCCATTCCCAACTCACCAGGATTATTCCTTCTTAAAGGAGGTAAGACCTTGGGATTAAGAGTAAATGTGTAGTGAGTCATCCTCATCACATCATAGTTGATCAACAACCAGAACATCGTGGCCCAACAGAAAAGAGGGTAGAGGCAGAGATGGAAGCTGCTGGGGCAGAGGTGATAAAGCTGATTCATCACAACAGGCTCTGATCTGCACTCTCACCCCCACAAGTCTTCCACCATCCCTCAACTCTCCCACTAATGAAAATTCTACCTCTGGCATAGGCTGCTTCGTGGACATGGGCAGGAACACAAAGCAGCGTTGTGTTAAAAGCTCGCAGTCCGCAGTCAGGCAAGTGTGGTTATGAACCTTGGCTCTGTATCTTACCTGGGAGCCTCAGTTCTTTATCTATGAAATGGGAATAATACTACTACCTTATGAAGGCATTCAAGAAGCCTGAATGAATCATGAAGAATCCGATCTCATCCATAAATTGTTTAGCATGGCCACCAATATATAGTAATCACTGAATAACTGCTAGTAGCCAAAATGCATATTGCAGTTGAAGACTTGTGAAAACAGACCTTCGTCTCCACACCCCCCACATATTTTATCATTGAGGTCACTAACTGATGCATTATTGTCTCCATCAGCCCCAGACGGCTGATACGCAGAGTTAACACTGAAGGTGAAAAACTTTGGGATCTGATTAATGTTTTCATTGCACAGAGGAGGAAAAATAAGACACAGTGAAGTGTTGTGTCCAAGGTTTTGTGGAGCTAAGCCTAGAACCCAGATGCCCTCATCTCTAATCGAGTGTTCTTTTCACTCAAGAGCATTAACCCATCTCAGTTCTGCAATCTTTAGAACTGAGATTACAAGACAGCTCAGAGACAAAAAGTAAAAGAGAAAGGGTGGGTCATCATAGGCACCCGGGTAAAGACACTAGAACATTCTTGGGACCAGAGGAGGACATAAGTATCTAAGACATAGCCTGCCATGCCAACATCATCACACTTGGAGTTCCCTTAACCATGTCTCTCCTGCTCTCTGCCACCCAGAGACTTAGAAAGTAGGGACAAAAGGCCCCAAAACAGACAAGCATTCTGGATCTTTCAGGAAAGATGAATAATTATAGCTTTGTCAACAATATCTTAACCTTGTCTCTAATTACTTAGCATGTGACCTCAATTCTTATAATTCCTCTGTAGGCAGTCACATTAAAGTAAAAAGAATCATGGTATAATGAAAAGGTAAGCAAAAATTTTTTTCCATAAAGGGCCGGATAGTAAATATTTTTAAGCTTTGCAAGTCAGAATGCCTTTCTTGCAACTAGACAGCTCTGCTGTTGTAGTGCACAAGCAGCCATAGACTTTGCAAATGAGCAGTCAGGGTTGCGAGTCCATAAAACTTTATTTACAGAATAAGGTTGTAGGCTGGCTTTGACCCACAGACCAGAGTTTGCTAACCACTATTATGTAAAAAATATAGGCTTTGGCATCACAACATGTAACACATATTCTCATGGAGTCTTGCAGAAAACCAAGGGCACAGAGCAAAAGTCATTTTCCCTTGCCAACTCTTACCATCTCACCACCATATTTACCCAGATTTTTCAAGTAGGACCAGAACTTTTCATTTTTTGAGGGCTTTTCCTTAGCAGGAATGTGATCTCAGTGACAAGGACAGTTTTAATTAGGCAGTGCGACCTCAGCCCCTTAGAAAATCAGTTCAGCACCTGGAGAAAACTTCCATCATAGTTGCCAAGCACGGGGGCCCTACCTAGGGGTTTTGTCCCTGTTATAGTTTTCAACAGTCCAGAGTGGAATCAGAAAAAGACAGACAAGGTTGCCCCTTTTTCCATAGCCAACAATTTTTAATGTGGGGGTGGCTCCTTTGCTCTGAGAGTATGTCTTTTTATAAAGTGTTAAAATGTCTTTTTTTTTTAATTTATTTACTTTTTAAATACATTTGTCTCTGCCTCCCCCCCCAGCACTTTCCCTTGCCCCCTCCCTCTTTCCCTCCCTCAGCTCTTCCCCTTTGGTTTTGTCCATGAGTCCTTGCTATATGTTCCTTGACTTTCCCCTTCCCTTCCCTTTCCCTGCCCCCCCACCCTTCCCTCTTGTCTCTGTTGATTTCTTTTCCTTTCAGTGCTGCTGGTCATATTTTCCTTGCATCTTTGCATTGTTGGTTAGGTTCCGCTTATAGGTGAGATCATATGGTATTTGTCTTTCGCCCCCTGGCTTATTTCGCTTAGCATGATGCTCTCCAGTTCCATCCATGCTGTCGCGAAGTTTAGTAGTTCTTTTTTTCTTTCTGCTGTGTAGTAAATGTCCTTTCTTTTACAACATGAAGCTGATATGGATGGAAATTAAGTTGGTTTGCTTTTTGTCCAAGTTATTTTGTTTTGTTTTAATGATAGCAACAGGAAAAAATCAAAAGCTTCCGACTCTGTATGGGTCACTGAATTTTCATTTTGCAGTAAATTTCATCAATCCATGACATCCAAAATTGTGGGCACCATGGACTAGACCACTTGTTAGATCTCTTCTTATCTTGGCCACCACTGTGAATGATCAGAACACAAACTAATCCAAAACCAAACTCAGATCACAATGTAATGTTTCTGCAACCAGACTAAACAATAATGAACTTTTGGTAAAGAGTTTCCAGAATCTCCCTTGCGTAGATCTTAGCCTCCCTCCTGTGAGTGAACAAAGTGGGAATTAGTGATTCCATTTTGCAGATGAGTAGCTGAGGCCCATACAACCAATGAGGCTTGCCTAAAATCATCCAAGGAGTTGCCTGCAGAGCAGGAACCAGAATCCAAGGCTCTATTTCCCAGCAAGATGTGCGTCAGCCATAAATATCCCTGACCTGTTGTGTGTGGTCCCTGGCCTTCTCTTTCTATTAATGCAAGCCTGCTCTTCCCTTCACTTGGCCCTCTGCATACATGGTAGGAGAGTGAGGTGGAAAGCATGTAAGATCTGGACTCCAGAACTGACCTTCACTCCAGCACATGGTACCTCTGGGTCTCATCTGTAATGTAGCAATGTACTCAATGAACTGGAAAGTCGTTCCAGCTGTGACACTTTACAATAATTCTGTTGTTTAATATGTAAATATAAAAAAAAAAAAGTCTTACAATAATCTTGAGGAAATCTGCAGCCACAGTTTCTGCCCCCAGCAAGCCTGTCTTAAACAGGCACAAGCAGCAAATTTTCCCTTTAGAAAAGCCACTGCAAGATATTCCAGGCAGAGAGGAACCATCTTCCAAAAACTTCTAGGAGGACGCTCCAGAGGCAGAATGTGGTTTGTCACTGGAGCAGACAAGGACAGAAGTCAGGCACTTTCAGGGAGCCCTGTGCCACTGGCTGATGGACATTGGCCCCCATCAGCAGGAAGCCAGTAGCAGCTCGGAACCTGGGAAGCAGGGCCATGTCTGACCACGAAAGCAACCCAGCACAGCCTGACCATTAGCTGCAAGGAAACCACAGGAACCAAAGCCCTTTTTGTAGAGAAAGCGTTTCTCAGTCCCAAGACAAGCTTCCTCCTCCTGGCCAGGATGCTGGTCATCAGCAGCCATACACACTTGCTCCACTGTGCTTAGGACTCCAGGGCTCATCGGGACTGTTGGCCAGGAGAACCTTCCACCACACCCACCTCTTCTCATCTAGAAAATGGAGTTAATAAGAATTGCACAGAGCCAACTATGAGGCTGAAATGCAATAGCAAACCCAACCATCCTCTGCCCCCAAATGAAAGGGCTTCATCCACCCCTCCCCCCATACAATGAGGAATCTAGGAGGGCTGCAGGGAGAGTGAGGCTTGTGATGCTTCTCCTCACTGCTTGTTCCAATTTTCTGTTCCCACCATATTCTGAATCTTGCATGTGCTCATTTTATATGGCTCATTTGTCCAAACCACAGAATACAGACACCTCTGGCTTAATTTTCCCACAGTTCCTACAGTAACATTTGTGTATATCAACGTTTGCAGCAGGATTTAGGGTATGAGAGAAGCTGGTGGGCAGTGCACTCCTATGCAGAGGACAACGCAGCCTGAGAATTGCACCCCCTCTTCTCCTAAGGCTTCTTCCACTCCAGCCACTGGGCACTGCCTGAGGGACAGCTTTCCGCCCAGGGTCCCGCCCTCTGCCGTGCATGCTGACCCACTCTCCTCCCTGCCTATTTTATATCCTCCTTCTCCCCATTTCCACCCCTTATGCCCATACACACAACTTCCCCTCTTAAACTGCAGAAATTAAAATTCTACTGACTCTATTTTGCAGAAAGATTTTTGTCACCTTAGTCTCACTCCCAGGACTTCCCAACATCCCTACAACCAAATGGCAGTTGTTCCCTGCCCTCAGGGAACTCTGTAGACAAGTTTTAAAGCAGTTTTTCTGTTATTCCCTCACCTCATATGAATGAGGACCTGAGGATCTGGCAGATTGAAAATAATAAAGACTGGTATGCCAGGCATGGGGCTGAGGGCTTTGCGATTCCCTCATGCACTCCTCACAGGCCCAGGGGATATTATTACCTCTGTCTTATAGGAACAGAAACTGGTTCACAGAGAGGTTTAATGACTTGCCTACAATTGCACCGTTAACAAGCAGTGGAGCAAGACCTCAAAATCCAGGCTGACCTGCCTTGGAGCCCTTTTGCTCATCCAGGTGCTTAGTGAAACCTGGCCGGCCTTCCTTCCGGGGCCCCTGTCATTTCTCATGGCTGGGATCCTCCCAACACCTTCCTCGCTTCCTCAGTACCTGCTCGGGCAGCTGTCTGTTTTCCTGTCGCTGAAGCATGCTCGTTGTCACTGAACTCTGAGGCAGACAGGGCCATTAGGTTGGCCACCCACATGGGTCTGCAAGAGGTGGAGTGGTGGGGAGCATAAATGGCCCAGGACAGGGAATGTAGAGGCCTAATTTAAGCGCTAGCTTTGCAGCTGAAGAGTCATGAAATCTGGGATGATTCCTTCCCTCCTGCCAGTTAGAAGAGGTTTGTCTCTTCTGTGAGTGCCCTGTGCCCGTCATATCCAGAG